TTAATCTGTGTATATATTGTATATGAAATTTACATATATTTCAGAGGACTACAGTTGAGAAAATTCAAATGTTTATCCACCAAATGATTAGATGCTTGGCTCTTATCAAACATAATCTTTTTGTTGTTACTCTAAGTATGGATTGGTTGGATGGATAAAGCAAATACATGATGTTTTCTGTTTTAATGCATTTCTGTTATCTTGTTCCTTAAAATACAATATTATTACCCTTATGTGACATAGAAACTTCAATCTTTGACTTTCTTAATGTGGCAAAAAAAGCTTAAAAAAGACCAAAAGTGCTGTTAAGCCTCAATGTTAATGAAATTGCTATTATATCCTGACATAAGAGGGCATAAGAGGAATGGCCTAGGAACATACTTGGTAACACTTACCAGAAGTCTTCCTCCACCTTGCAACAATGTTTCCTAATTAACAGCAGGGAGGCAAGACACTTTTATCTCTGCCTAGTAACTGTTCTTCTTAAATTTGTTTTTTTTTTTGAGTTACTTTATCATGAATATTAGGTTTCTTAACTGTTTTCTCCTCAAATAGAGATTGTTACTGTTTAAGAAAATGCATAAAGTTGAATTAGAATTCTTCATTATTGTACAGTCAACATTTCAATTCAAGCATTTTACTTCCCAGCAGTTGGAAAAGTCAGACATGACTGAACCAAGGGTGGACATTTATATAAAAATAAAATAATAATTTCCTCGTTTCCCCTTACTCTCTCTCCTAGCAGTGAAATTTAAAAAAAGAAGAGGGTAGGGAAAGAAATATACGAAGGAGAAGAGAAATGTCTTAAATTTGTTTATTTGTAAATCATGAACATTTTTATTTTACTTTAATCAGTTTTTGTGTTATCCCACAGACATGAAGGTTTGAATTTGAGCCTGTTAATTACAGACTGCATCCCTACACTCAGTGGGCACTCAGCTGTAACAGGCAAGCTTACTAAAAAGACTGTACTCGGCCATGAGGTACTTGTAAGCCTGTATATCCACAACATGAAGGAAGAAAAACACTTCCTAAGTTCATAACTCATTAAAAGAATATGTACTTCTTTCTGAAATTAAGCATAACTGCCTTGACAAGTTTTTATGTTTTCTTTTCAGTGCACTCATTCTGTTTTGATCACTTTATTCATTTTTCTGTGATACTGCACCTGTGGTGCTAAAACAGAATAAATAAATGTCAAAAGGTTATGTAGGAAAATTTTTGGAAAGCAGCTTACTTTTTACTTTTTACTGCCCACTCAGCCCTATTTTAAGATCAAAGTTAATTTTATTCTATAGGTATTTGGGGAAAGAACTAAAAGGAATGAAAGTCCAGCATTTCCAGTTTAAGGAAACTGTCTGCTTTTGAACTAAACTCTGTGTGTGTGTGTGTGTGTGTGTGTGTGTGTGTGTGTGTGTGTGCTGGGCTTGAACTCAGGGCCTTCACCTTGAGCCACTCCACCAGCACCCCCCCTACCTTTTTTTTTTTGTGATAGGGTTTTTTGAGATAGGGTTTAGCAAACTATTTGCTCAGGCTGGCTTCAAACTGCTATCCTCCTGATCTCTGCCTCCTGAGTAGCTAGGATTATAGACATAAACCACCAGTGCCTGGCCCTAAATTCTTTTTTAAAGCTCTTACCTGTACTTAAGAATTGGGATTGTCCTGATGATCCTTTCCAAGTCACCTTTCCCTATGACTTGTATGTTACAAGATCGATAGACTGGTTATATGAAGTAGAAAAAAAAAAAAAAAAAGAAGAGAAATAATTTCAGCAACTAACAAATATAAAAAATGAGCACTTATAAATTGTCTTATAAATCCTTGCTTCTCTGTAATTACATGGGAAACTTTTTTATTACTAGACTTTTAAAACAAGCTTTTTTGGGAGCTACCATTGCATACTGACTAAGAAACCAGACATCATGGCTCATTTTTCACAAAATACATTTCTGTGGCTAAAGCAAGACAGTCAAATTAGTCATGTACCATTTTTTTCTTTTATAAAATGAGGATGACTGCAGTACTTGTCTTAACTGGTTGTACTGAGAATTGACTGAGATATGCCACATAAACATAATACAGTGCTTGGAACACATAAGCACTTAATGTTTCCTATTATATTAATGTGTTTTTTTTTCTATTTTTTAACTGTCTTAAAGAAATCTACATTCAACTGTATTTCTTCTTACTGATCAGCTGCAATAGATTTTTTCTTCCTCCCAAATATAGTTATTATATTTTTCCTTGTGGAGAAGTATGTTGGCTGATAATACTGTTTTTGAAATACTTTTGGAAATGCTCCCTTGAAAAAGAGACTACTGATTGTGAAAAGCAAATGCGCTCCAGTACTAAATGTGTTGGACTAAAAAGCAACTGTTACTGATAATGACCTTGGATAAACCACTTCATTTCCTCATGCCTTAACTTTTTCTCTGATTGTAAAATATGATTTCCCATTCTGTCTCAGAAGATGGAAAATGTGTGTGAAAATGGTTTGTGATTTATTGTGAGCTAGAATCTATAGTATCATTCGATGCATTGTGCTCTACCAGATACTTTTTTTTAAAAAAAGTCTCACATTGAAATGATAGACAGGACTTATTTGGGAGAGATCATTGTATTATGGGATTAGCAAAGTGTTTGAAAATAAATGTTATAAACTGGTATCTTAGCAGTAGTCTTTAGGATCCCATAATCAAAATTTATTTTGTGCACAATAATTACAGTAAAAATATCACTGACTTTTGAGAAATAAAGATCTTTTGGTCCACCTGTCAGAACATACAGTCATGCAGTCAAATAGAATGTATAAACCCAAGTTTTTTTAATAAAAAATGAATCCAGGTGGTGACTAATTTCTGCACACTTATTAAGGAAGATTCTATTGTGTGTCCTACTCAAGTCCCACTACCTGTTTGTATCTAACTCCTTCAACCCAGCAAAAGTAATAGCAGTAGCAACCCACCCTGACATCTTGACTGAAATCAATGCCAGAGACGCTGCCAAGGTGGCTGAGCAGGTTAATGACGTTTTCAGTGTTGATCCTCCCAATCACATCTAGTTCCAAGCTGGCCCACTCCCTTTTGAAATCTGCATGTGCAGACAAGAAAAGGGCACTGATGGGAAGGAGCATTATTCTGCCCCACCACTCCGAAACGCACTTCTTAAATTTAATGAGGTCAGTTGGGCGTCTACACCTTTTGCCTTTTTGGTATCTCTGCCTAGGAGAGAAATCCCTGTCTTAACGTACACCATGCCCATGCGTATGTATTGAAAAAACACCCTTGGGAAAACAGCTATGCATAGAAAAGTCACACCTTCCATCACCTGCCATTAACAAACACCCTAGCCCTTCATCACAGCACCAGGGAGCTCTTTCTCTCTCTTAGTCTCTCTCTCTCTCTCTCTCTCTCTCTCTCTCTCTCTCTCTCTCTCTCTCTCTTTCCTAGAATGGCAGACCCACACACAATGCCACGTACCAACAGAGCCCAGAATCCTTGTTATACACTAACCGCACTTGTCACTCAAGACTGAATGCTTGCTCGCAGTGTGCCCACTTTGCAGAGCAGAACTCCCTCCAGATGCAAGCGAGTTGAGCCACTGAGCTAGCAGCTCCAATGCGAGCCCAGGGACAAAAGCCGGCCTGGGTGATTGTGTGGTACACGGGGCAGAATCCATTATTTTGTGGTCAAGGTGGAGAACTGCAAACTCAAATCCGGCAGTCCTTGTGACTAAATCTCTTAGAAAGACATCCTCCCCCCACCCCATAGCTTTCAGCATGCAAATAGGGCTACAGACAGGAGCAATTACCTATTCCAGAACCAACACCGCAGCCCTCCCCACTCCTGAGATGGGACCAGATTCCCGGAGGAGTCAGATCCAGTCCGGCGCCTGGTCTAAGGAACTTGCTTTTGGAAAGATGTGTGCCAGGACCGTGCCGAAAAAGATTAATAAATTGGTAAAAAGGAGCAAAACACATCGGTCTCATGGACGCAGGTCCTCTACATCATCTGATGTGAGAAACACGGTCCCTTAAAAATGTGAAGAAGAGGGTGGCTTGAACATGGCCAGTAGATGGCGCAAGAACTCTTTCTTTGTACGACCTTAACCCTTGAGAGGTGTATGGAGTTGCCAAGTCCAGACGTATAGATATATACATTTCGCATTTTGAAAGAAACCTCCTATTTACATATTTGGTACAGATTCAGAATTAAGACAAATGAATGTGTTCTAAATAACTACCACAGATAAAGTAGTTTAGCTTCGTTACACACCGCTGAAAGGGAGCTGGGAAGGATGAAAGGATGAACTATTTGGGGAAATGACTCTGACTTTCCTCCCCACCCTACCCCCGGCCCCACTACGGATGAAATCCTTTTACCAAATCATAAAAGCTCTGTTTCGGGTTTATACGTAGGTATTTGGATATGTAAATGCATGTGTGCAAATAAAACCTTCTCTGTGATGTCCTTTTTCAATTAAATCAAAGGATAATAAATGCACGAAGCCTGCCTGAAATATACTGCAACTACTGGTGTAACACATGTCCCATTATAACGACGTGGCCATCGGTAGAACCCGACTCGTGATCATCACGGTTTCCCCCAAAAGCAACGCGGATCTTCGGATTAAAATATTCCTTTTGCTTTTCTTCTGTATTTGCAGGCTACAATGAGGAGCTCACTAACATAATATTTCTTCGGCTGCTTTTTACGAGCAGAATTGATCTATTAGGAGAGGGAAAAAAAAAAAACAAAAACCCAAGCCCCTTAATTTCAAATATTGTGGGGAGTTTGTCAAACAGCGGAGCTAGGCTTTCAGAGGCTCACTAGTGGTTTCTGGTGGTTATTATAACGAGCTGGGATTGAGGTAGGTTTTGGTGGAGGGGAAAAAAACGCACAAGAAAAGACAGAATCCAGAGTAGCGGAGACTTTGTGCCCCCGTTGGAGAGATGGTTGAGTCCTCGTCAAGGTTGCTGTGGTATCCCAGAAACACCATTCACTCCGAGCTGTGACCGCGCACCAACAACAGCAACAACTCCACTGCGCCGGGCTGAGGAGCAGGAATTAGGAGCTCGCGAATAATATGAAAGGGATCCGCAAAGGGGAAAGCAGAGCAAAGGAATCCAAACCCTGGGAGCCCAGCACTGGAAGATGCGCTAAATGTGGCCGCCTAGACTTCGTCCTGATGAAGAAAATGGGAATTAAAAGTGGATTTACGTTTTGGAACCTCGTCTTTTTATTGACGGTGTCTTGTGTGAAAGGTAGGTCTGCTTTCGGGGGCTCCCCCCCATGTTTTTTGGATGGAGGTGGGTTGACTTGTCGCCTGAGAGAGGCTGGCAGCTTACTTTGCAATTTGCACGGATAAAATAATCATGATAATACTGATGAAGGAGTTGATTCACAGCTCTTTCCCCCCTCAGATAGGAAATGCATTTTGCTTGCCAGATTTGGCGTTCAATGCGGTGATTGAGCTTGTGCTCAATAAATATTCTTGCAGTATGCTCAAACGAATACGTGAGTTGGTTCCTATAGCCTCTAACTAGTGTATATCCAGGCAGAATTCCTCTGCAAGACTTTTCTTGGTGTTGAGGATTACCTTGATTTCTTGTCACATCAGTAGGGTTTAATGCTTCTTTGGGTGGAATATTTATATTAAAGACACTGGTGCGAATGCTTTTTAACCCTTTCAGGGAATAAAGTTACCAATGTGCTGTGTGTTTTGATTTTTAAATGCTTTAGGATATGGGGGTCTTCTAAGCATCGCCACACCAACATGAGCATATACATATATATTTAAATTATTTCTCATGGGCTCCTAGACAATAATAAATTTAAGGAAGCTTCATGAGGTCCTGGGGAAAGGTTTGGCCCAAAATCAGGCTTTAAAACGGTTTGAGATGTCACAAAGTGTAAAGATCCACCTTTGAGGATGAATGAAGGTAGGAGGAAAAGTCATTAGTGATGACCAAAAAGAAAATCCTCACCAAGTCTCAGTGTTCAGACAGGTAGAGTGTCACATGTACAGACAAGGAGAGGGGATGGGTTGGATGTAAAATTTATTCCTAAGGAGAAGGGAAAGAGACATGAGGATCTTTGGAAGAAGAGCAGTCCCCAGGGAGAAAATAGATGCACAGCTCTCTTCCACAACTTCTCCTGCACCCCGCTGCCCATTAATTGCTGCAAGAAATACTCGCGAGGTGTTTATGACTCATGCCATCATTTTTTGAGCAATCACTTCTCCATACTCATGACAGCTCCAATACACACGATGGATGTCGCTTTGAGTGGGGCTAGTTTCAAATCCTGGGTGCCTATGTGTTGGGGGTGGGGCAAGGGATCTTTTTTTTTCTTTTGGCCCAGGCGCTCTACGGCTGTCAACACAAACTGGACGCTTCTTCCTCTGTAAAGGAGTGCCTATGAACCGCAATCGGGCCGTGTCTCTATGAAACAGTTTATTGTCCAGCTTGCAGCTGGCTGTCCCCCCCACAGAAGGCAACACATTTGCATTCAGTGAAAATGATAATTCATGTTTTGGGAGGAGGGAACTGGAGAAATTACCTCTCCCTCTACTATGACCAATGATGGGTGGCCCGTCTGGAATTTTAATTTACATCCCTAAATGCCAGGAAGCCGTCCCTGTGGCAGCAACTGCCTTGTAATCACAACCTGCTCCTTAAAGCTCGAGTGTGTGTGTGTGTGTGTGTGGTTTCCTGGAGACTTAGTGCAGCTCTGAGCTAAAATGCTTGCCCTAAACGGCACAAAACGCGTCTCAGGTTGCTTACAAGGGATTTGTGTCGCCAGCTCGACGTGTGAAGAGCCACACATTTGTGCTTAGTTTGCTCGCCACTGGGAGTCTGTGGTTAATGGATGGCCCTGGGGCTGCCTGCTAGACGCGCGCTCCGCGTCGGGGAGGCGCAGGGAGCCAGCAGCAGCACCCTTGGTGGGGAAAAAAAAATAGTAGGAGTGTATCCTTCAAGAAGATGACCGGGGGTTAAGTGCGAGTTTTCACGTGATACCTGTTGAGCAAAACATTTTGGGGGAACATTAGGGCGAGTGAGTCTCCTAAGCCCGGCCTGCAAACCAGTCTGATAAATGCCGCGCAGCCTGCAATTACAGCCCAGGCTGCCCGCACTTACCGTATTTTCCGAATAAAACGCGCCACTAGAAAGGAACAGGAGCGTTAATTTATTTTAAATGGCACTGACAATGCGACCCCTCCCGTCTATTCACATCTTCCATAATTTGGACTGAGACTATTGGTGTCTTTTGCATTCATTCCAGCTTTGGAGACTTTGGGAAGGAGGATCACGGCACAGTCTTCTCTTCCTGTTGAAAATATATACCCTACAGACCATTAAAACATTTTTCATGGTAATAAAGTTCTTCATTGTTACACACCTGGTACTTGGAAGGTGTCGCCTACATTTTATAACTTGGAATGCTGTTCCCAAATACAGAGAAACTCGCATAGGTTGGATCCTTCATATCTGCCCTCCAATCGCCTTGTAGTGTGCCACTTTTATCAGTTGTTTCTTATTCTCCTTATTAAAATTTTAATTTCACTTCAACCTGGAGGTTTTCCTAAGATCGAGATTGCTGCAGTGCTTTAAACATTGCTACTTATAATGTCTATTCCTGTTTTGTATTCCACGCTTTTTTTTTTTTTAAATGGGCTTTCCGACACAGAAAATCTTAGATTACGGAGTCCTCCTGGAGGTTTTGCATATCTTAATCTAGGCTAGGGCTAGGGTTCAGGAACTTCAAGGCTCCCGGTTTTCCATGTGAACAGTTTTTGCCACGAGAATTCCACCATCTGTCTATAATTTTCATTCCTCCACCATCTCACCTCGGCTTGTAATGGCAATGACAAAGAGGTTCAGTGGGAGGAAATGCCTCACGCTCAGAGTGGAAGATAAAGTGGTCTTTGGTAGGCCCAAGCCTCTCGGGTGGGGCTCAAAAGGGAGCTAACCTTCCTTGGGCATTATGTCTACAGGGCATCCTCTGAAATAAAATAAAAGGGTGTGCAGAACACCGATTGGGATGGTAGTGGGGCAGGCGGAGGCTACTTAGATTTGATTCATGCCTCTTTATAGCTGAAAGAAGGGGAGAAGAGAGAGAGAGAGAGAGACAGACTGACAGATTCCTGCCTGTATAGGTCTTATCCAGACAGCAATTGATTGTGAATCTCCAAATCGTGCTTAAGTGTCCCGCCTACGTAAAGAGACATTAGTCAGCAGGGTGCTTTCCCACGCTCCTTTTCAGGGTTCCCTAGGGGAGCTCACAAGGTGCAGTGAAGGCAAAAAGCACAGACCTCTGCCTGCAGCAGGTGGGAGAGGCCAGGTGCTCCCAGAGGTTCTTGCATGACTCCTCCGGACTTCAGGAAGGATGACCATTTCCACTTGTTCTAGGACTTCAAAGAAATAATATTCGTTCCACAGAGCTCTCGTGTATGGTAGTGGTGGTGGTGGGGATCACAACCGCTTCCCCAGTAAATTCTACTGGCAAGGGTTGCAGGTGACCGTGCGGGGGCGGGGTAGAGCTAGAGTCATGCTTATTAGTACATTGCACCCACGCAGAGGTGGTCGCTCCTGGAGCTTTTAGTCCTGCTGGTGTCCATAGGGAATGACACTCTCACTCCACATGCTCAAGGCAACAGTCTTCACTGACACTTCAGAAAAAAAAAGATGCGTAGTATCTTGGTAGAGCTTTACAAAGAGACTAAGAGGAGGTGCTTTAATGTCTTCATAAAATAGTAACAACAGCGAAGAAATAAACAAAAAAATTCACTAAGGCCATTTCCAACATCAACACCCTCTGCCAAGGTTAACATCATCTAGACACCTGCTGGAAGTTAACCTTTGCTTAGCGACTATGACCCTTTCCCCGGCACAGTTTGAAAAGGTATCCCTCCCTTCCATCTATTTCCTCTGGGAATATTAATTTATTCTAGAAACTCAGGCTACTCGAAATTTCCATGGACCAAACCCGGTTGAAACTGGATGCCTGACTTGGCATATGCTGTGTGTGTGTGTGTGTGTGTGTGTGTGTGATGCTGGAAGGAGTGAGGATAATGACTTGACACCTTGGCGCCTTCAGGAGGCCCCAGGGTAGGTGTGTGTACTAGGCGGAAATGCGTGGTGGGTTAACAGTGCGTTAATTTTCCATGCACTCCACGTGGTCCTTGAGGCTGCGAGAGTGCTGTCGCACAATAAAGCGCAGGCACAAAGGGAAAAAAAAATACCCTTTCTAGACTACAGCTATACCCTCACTCAAACAAGTTCTCCTTTAAGATGTATTGGGGAGTTTGGAAAGCTCATTGAGGGCACTAGCAGTTGAGACTGCGGCTCAGTTCCATCCCCTTCCTCTCTACTCCTCCGTCTTCTGGGCAAAAGCAGTCAGGAGAGTAGCGCTAGGATTTCTAGTGCCACCAGCAATCCAAGCAAGTTGGGCTCCAGGGGAGCGGCAGAAAACAGAACCAGGTCGCCCAGGAAATCTCCTCGAAACCCAGTTGGAGGGGTCAGCTGAGAGCCTAACGGGGGTCACATAGGGAAATGGCTGCGCATTGCAGAATAGTAGTGAAGCAGGACAAACCGAAAGATAGACCGAGGCATGAAACTGTTTCGTTCTCCCAGGACATGGCACCTTTGGAGGCTTTAAGCTGTCCAGCTGTTAAACCAACTCAATATACGCCCTAATACGCTGGAAGGGCTCCCTCCATTCAAAGTTGAACCTTCCTGGACAGTTACTCCTGGACAAGAATCTGAAATGTACTTTAGCAGCATTTTCCAGAATATTTTTCCTTGCAGTGGGGGAGGAAGGATGGAGGGAGAGTGGCAGAGAGATGCTGCATTAGGCTCTAGTTGGAAGAGGGTGTGTTCAGAAGTAATTAAGGAGTAAGTTTCAGCATCTGGAAAACCTGATGCCAGCCTCCTTAAGGTCCTTCAAAGAGAAAAAGGGCACAGTTATTCTATAAATTAAACACTCCAGGCACCTAGACTTCCTTTGAACAGTTATCACTGTTCATGATGTTAATTAGCCTTCCTATTTGTTGAGTATCTGAAAAAGTTTGGGGTAGACGTCTTTTTCTGAAACACAAAAACTGGCATCTACAAAAACAGTGAAACAAAAAAAACTGGGACCAAATGTCATCTACTTATTCATGGTTGTAAATATAGCAAAATTATCCTAAAATCTGCTAAAAGATTAAAAAGTATGAGAGGTAGAGCAATTAATATCTTTGCACTCATGTGGAAAGGAACTT